TTTTTGTTCGCCACTGTTCCTGCCTGCGGTTAGTTGACACAGCTGGTTGCGCAGAAACGCCCTACTTTTAAGGACCAGCCACAATTGAGCATGAATGCCTCCGAGTATCTTTTCTATACAGTCGCTTCCACATCGCATATCCATATGCTTGTGCGTGCTTACGTTTTTCCGGTTACCGCTTGCCTTGAGCCGGACACATGTCCTTAAGCGTGCGCGCATGCACATAGGCAAGTTGTAAGTGTGCAAGTGTCGATGGTATGCGTTTTGTTCCGCTGTAATTAGGAGTACCACAAGTAATTCAAATACATATGTATATATTACAACTTCCTTTTCTTCTGCGCTTCAGCTCAACTTTGACGTTTACCAAGCTGGGGTCTTGTTAGTGACATTGCTACTGTACAGCTGCGTTCAAGTGTTTCCATAAGGCACTTGCTGTTGTATATAATTATGTGAAGTGTGCGCACTTTAAACTCGGGAGTAAAGACAGCTTACATTCATACAAACATGTCTACATACCTATATACAGTGAATGTTAGTGAAAATCGTACAGTACACATTTTAAATAAAAAAATGTTTAAATTACATACCAACCAAATTACATAAAAACCATATAAAGTTTGTAAAAAAAGACGAAGTTTCAACAAAATACAAAATACAAAATTTCACAATTTTCTGTTTTTTTCCGTTGACACTTTTTCGCATTTTCTTCTATATCGCAACACCATCGAAAAAAAAAATCAAGAGTATTTTATAACCACTTCCAAGTTGCACTTTATTATACTGAAGAATAAAAATCCATACCATAAACTTTTCAAAAAATTCGCATCAAAATGTTTGAAATTTGGATAAAAATTAAATTTTTTTTCAAATTCTTTACAAATTTTGAAACTTGTGAGTTACATGGATTTTGTTGTTGTACCATATTTTTATTAAAAATGAATGAATTTAAAATAAAACAAAACATTAAGAAATGGGGAAAAGTTTACTGTGCGATTTTCACTTACACTCACTGTATGTATGTATTAATGGATGAGCTCACAGAGACATCGCCAGTTTTATGGGATTTTCGGCTCATTAAAGTTACTTATAAATCATAAAAACGTTCAGCGGAAAAGTGTTGCTGTAAGTAGTTAGTAGCAGCAGATAAGCGCCGCGCTTACTTCGAACATTTTTTTACGTTATTCCATTTGGGTTTTTTCACAGGAGCTCAAATTTTAAACTTTTTTAACATTGACGGATAAGCAGTTTTACCCACCGTGACGCACAGTTTTTATACTTTTTGTTAAATAAAGAGTTTCTATCGTAAATTTTTCGTTTTTTTCTTGACTTATATCCATAACATATACATACGAAAAATCGAAGACCTACGCCTAATCATAATTTTTTTTTCCCAAAATCGATGGTGTCTGTACTAATGTGCTTTAATTTTTCAAACGTTTTTTTTTTTTTGTTTCTGCATTTGCCTCACAGTGCGCTTACGCTGTCGGTACAGCCTGAAATAAGCTATAAACGCCCTGCTCGTTGGCAATAATTTCAAAGTGTTCTAAATGATATTTATTTTCTTCAATATTTTTGTTTACTTAATCTAATACCCATTCTAATTCATCCTTTTTGTGGTTTGTTGTTTATTTTTAGAAGCTATTTTCCTCAGCTCAGTTTCACATTTGTTTGCTTTACTTATCTCCTGCATTTATTTGTTGAATCATCTATCAGCTGGTGTCCCCTTATCAGTTCTACTTTTGTGGACTATCGCTGGCACCTCTCAAGCCGTTGAATAACAAAAACCTCTACCCAATCCAACTGACTCGTTAGGTTGTTATGTATGTATATGCAGATATGTGCCATAATGAGCGTTGACAATAGCTTATCTAATAATTTAGGTTCCAAAGATACCATCCACTTGATATGGGAGGTGCACAGTGTTCTATTTTCGAAAAAAAAATTAACAAAATATAATAACTCGAGAATGCTAAGAAATACAGATGGGGAATTCTCAAAAAAAAAAATTTTTTTTTTTTGCAACGAACTTTTTAAACACATTTAACGCTTTTATCTTTTACAGCTCATTACATGCTGTTATTAGGCCAAAAAAAAAAGAAAAAAGTCGAATTTTTTTTTCAAAAAGTTCATTGCATATTGGTTTCAGGTCAAGAAAACAAAAAAGTTTAACACTTTTTTATTGAACTTAATTTTAAAGGTCAAGTTATTTTTTGATCCAACGAGAACTCTCCACCTCAAAAGCTTCAAAATACCGTTACATTTCTTTCGTTATATCTTCTCGTTCTGGAGATATTTGATGTTGTCCCGTTTTATTCAAAAATAGAACACAATGCGACGTTAATTAAAGTCTTACGTCAAAGTGTTAATCAAAACTTTGAACATACATGTATGCCACTCGCTTTAATTAACTTATTTTTCTACCTCCCAAACGGTGCACAAAAAGCTATTCAGATTTCAGTTAATAATTCGGCACTCTTGATATGCATTTCAAATTGTTTGTGCAGTTGTTTCTATGCTCCTCAAGTTCTATCGCCGCTCAGCGCTTTTTGCCATCGGTGGTCGCTCTGTTCGCATATGTATGTAGGCTCTCGTTAGCATTTGCCGCCCCACTTTTTTTTGGGTTCCACAATTGGTGCGTTGCTGTTGTTCTCTGCATATTCGTCGCGCTCTATCCAAGTACTCGTACGTAAATTTCAATATATTTCCACCAATGCAACAACAAATGCTATTCTAAGTTTACCACATAATTTTCTAGCTTGCTATGCTGCCCTTTGTTCTTTGTACTTGCGCACAAAAATTAAACAAAAAAAAAGTCCAACTGCAACAGTGTAAAATGTCATGCAATTGTATTGGAGCACTACAACAACAACAATAAAATGATGAAAACAACAATAGTGCAGCGGCATTGCCAGCATCGAACCATAGCTAAAGCACCGCATATACTAAGTAATTGTCGCCTGCAAGTGAATATCGCAGCGTAACGAGCTCGCAGGCAGGCAGGCAAGCAGGCAGGCAGTCCGAAAGACACCGGCAGCCAAACAGAGCGGGCAATCAGGGAGCCCGACTGGCAATTGAATCCAATCCACAAGCAACAACAACACCACCAACAATTCAATGCGCTGAAGCTGCTACAATTTCCACGAGTCTACTGTGTTTTCGGTTGTTTGCTCGGTTTCAGTCTCCTTGAGCTTGTGGAACTGTGAAAATGTGCGACGCGTGGTCTTCCTCATAAGCGATTTTCCGTGCCATGGACTGACATTATTAAAAATTCTTTTGTTTTGAAAATTTCTTTTGTATTTGTGGCTAAGATTTGCATACTTTTTTTGTTTTGAATTTTTCTTTTTAAACTTCATTAGTCTTCTACAAAAGTGTATGTAACTGTGTGCTTCCATAAGAGTAGATATCGCTGTGAAAACGCAGCCAAATTGTTAACA